AAAGATTGAGAGTTTCAGGTTAAGAATGAACTATTATAAGCGGCGTGAATGGGACGATAATCTTATCGGCCTTGGTTACGAGTTGATCGTAAAAGCGTTGAGATTGGGCGCGACCCGTCTCAATCTACAACTCACGAATTTCAATGACGAGAGACCCATTTTGCCGCACGAGGTTTTCGAAGCTGAGAACCTTGTCGAGTTATCCGTGGAAGGCTACTTCATTCCTGATCTCGTGCTGGATCAAAGGGTAAGATGTTCGAAGCTTGAATCACTTACTTTAAATGATGTGAGGATTAAACGCGATATGGTCCCCCGCATAGTTTCAGCCTGCCCCTTGATTAAACAATTATCACTTTGCAAAATTAAGGGTAATAGATTACAGAGCCTTGCTTGGGTTTGTGATTATCTGACCGATTTTCATAAGCTGACGTCCCTCAAGCTTCAATGTATGCGATTGGATTCCGAGTTTCTGGATGATTTATCCTTTAGATTTCCTAATTTGAAGGATTTATTCTTGAATTTGTGCGATTTTGGTGATAAAATACAAATATGCAGCCACTCGCTCGAGCGTCTGGAATTACTCACCAGAGAAAGACGGAGGACAAAGTTCGTATTGGATGTCCCGCGTATTCGTAAACTTACATTCAAATGTTGTGAAATTCCTTCAGTCGTTTTCATATCGGACTCGAAGGAATTGGATGAATCGCATGTATCCATTGTGTGTTATAGTTTTACACATTCATCGTTTCTTGATGTGAGTAAGCTGTTGACCGAGTTGAGGCGGTCAAAAATTTATCTTTATCTCTCAGTCAGGGCCGTGGATATGTCTGATTACGAGGTAGAAGATTTTGATGGTTTACCCTCTAGGCACCAATTGGAACATTTGATGGTGGAAACGGACGATATGAAGTCTTTGACCTCTTATGCAATTTTTGATGGGTTTTTCCGGTTATGCTGCCCGAAGATAATTACGCAACGATATCAACGCCATCAGAGGTATCATGACCACAAAAGAACCAAAAGAAACAATGATTTCCTTTCCAAGATGCTCGAAAGAGGAACGAAGGGAGCATTCTCTATGTATGGCCTGCATGATCTCGAGGAGGTTTATGTGAAGCCATATGATGATGATGGGGATGAATTTGTTTGGACATCAAACTCTTATTTACAAAAGCACAATACAGAGACGGTACGGTTCCATTTGAAATGGAAGTCTGAATCCTAGTGTTCGTTTGAATGTGTTGAGAGCTGCCTCCTTTTGATGATTTTCTTGTTTTTTCTTTTTGGTGATTTGATATTGGTCTGACAAATTAATAATGGATCAAATGGTGTAATTTTGGTGGAAGACTCTTAATTTCGGATTTTCAGTTTTATCACTTTATTTAATCATATTTGCATGAGGACAAACATCCATTTGGTACAAGCAATCGTGACAGATTTATAGCTCAAAAGTATTTATTCATTTGAATTTTCCGTACAAGAGTAATGTATTCATGTTTTATTGATCGAACTAACAACCTAGCGGTATAAATGGGACGATAATCTTATTGGCCTTGCTTACGAGTGGATTGTAAAAGCGTTGAGATTGGGCGCGACCCGTCTCGATTTACAGGTCACGGGTTTCTGGGATGAGGGACCCATGTTGCCGCACGAGGTTTTCGGAGCTGAGAACCTTTGGATTCCGCGTTTCTAGATGATTTATCCCTTAGATTTCCTAATTCGAAGGATTTATCCTTGGAGTTGTGCGATTCTATTAATGAAATACAAATCTGCAGCCACTCGCTTGAGCGTCTGGATTTACTCACCGAAGATAGAGAGAAGCAGACAATAGTACTTGATGCCCCATGTATTCGTAAATTTACATTCAAATTTTTAGATATTCCTTCTGTCGTTTTCAAATAGGATTCAAAGGAATTGGACGAAACGCGTGTATCCATTGCGTGTTGAAGTTTTACACATTGGTGGTTTCTTGAGGTGAGCAAGCCGAGTTGAGGCAGTCAAAAATTTTCTCTCCATCTCTCAGTCAGATCCTCTGTGGATATGTCTGATTACGAGGTAGAGGACTTGGATGGTTTGCCCTCCTCTAGGCACCAATTGGAACATTTGATAGTGGAAAGGGACTATATGGAGTCTTTGACCTGTTATGCGTTTTTTGATGCATTTTTCCGGTTATGCTGCCCGAAGATAATCACGCAACTATATCCACGCCGTGAGAGGTTTCATGACCACAAAAGAAACAATGATTTCCTTTCCCATATGCTCGAAAGAGGAATGAAGGGAGTATTCTCCAACCATTGCAGTTTTATGTATGGCCTGCATGATCTCGAGGGGTTTTACGTGAAGCCTGATGATGATGGGGATGATGATATGTGGATAACAAAGTCTACAAGAATAGATAATTCAGATAGGGTTCGACTCCATTTGAAATGGAGTTCTTCATACTAGTGTTCCTTTCAATGTTTTGTGAGCTGCCTCCTTTTGTTGATTTTCTTGTTTTTCTTTCTGTTGCTTTATATTATATTAATTAATAATAGATCAAATGGGGTAAGTTCGTGTTAGTATACTTATCTTTCCGTATTTATCTATTTGCATCCACATTATGTATTTATCATACCCAATTTTACTGACAATATGATGCCTAACGTAGATGAGCATGGAAAAGAGCTGAGGTTGTAGAAAGTCAGACAAGATCAACCTGATTTTTAATCCTCATAACCATTAATGTGTCTTTCTGATTATTTTGTGTTGCTATCGTCTGATAGGTTTTCGGCATTCGACGATTGGAAAAGATTTCGAGAAAAATAGGATGAAACAACAAAGGGTTTGGTTATATGAGAACCTGGAGGAAACTGGCAGTTTTCCTTGGAGGTAATGGCAAGATCAATTGGTATATCTGTCAAGTCATATCTACCCTTACCAAAAGCTGTAACTAAGGCCATTAATTACATTTCATACTAATAATAGGATGTTATAATAGTTATTCAATAATGCTAAAGAGCCAACAGTTGGCTCCGTTACGGAGCCAACAACCAATGAGACAACTCCATTTGGGTCTGGCCCACAATACTTTAATGTGGGACAGCCCACATGGAGTTATACAATTGGTTGTTGGTTCCGTAACGGAGTCAAATGTTGGCTTCTTAGCATTACTGAATAGTTATTAGCTAGATGTCTTAAATAATAAACTTAGGTAAAAAAAAAGGCTGTGAGAATGAATTGGTACAAGAGGGGATAATGAATTTATCTCCATATAAAAGTTGACTTTCCAAAATCTTGATTATATGTAATTCTCTCGAGGTGCTAATTTTTTTTTTTCCAATCACATTACATGAAAGTATATACTCTAAAATAATTAATCATATGTTAGAGCACAATACACCAATAAAATTGTGAGCATTCCTATCAAAAAATAATTACACATATGATCAGGCTCCGACATTCCCTTTTTAATGTTATTTTTTGGAAGATAGACAAACTATATAATCTGTTGTTTGCACTGTTCTAAAAATCAGCCTAGGCGGCCGTCTAGGCAGCGTCTAGACGCTAGGCGGTTCCCGAGCGCCTCCGATTTGCACAAATCGACAGAAAAAATCGACTAGGCTTCTAGGAGGACTTGGCGGGCTCGACGGCCAGGCAGTTAAGCGACGCCTAGGTGGGCACAAGCGGACCTAGGCGCTCCTAGGCGAGGTCGGCATCAACTTTTAAGTTTTTTTTATTTAATTAAATACTAATTACATTATTTTGTTATCATGTTTTCTTTAAAATACATTAATTTTATTATTTAGACTTATGTCAGCCGATTTAATATAAGTTTAAATAATTTTATTTTGTAAGTAGTTAAAATAAATAAAAAAATAAGGTATTTAATATTGATTTCTAGACCAGCGCCTAGCGACTTTTAGAATACTCGGAATGAAAAAGAAATGTAAGAAGAATAGAAAAGAAAAATCACTTCACTTCTTGTACATTATATATCTGTCAGCATCTACTCTTCCTTTATTACATTAAAATAAAATTTAAAAAAAAAAAAAAAAAAATTAACAATATTAATAGCATTTAAATCTTCTTTCTATTTACATTTTTTACAAATTATTAGATACCAACATAAAGAATATACATAAGTTGCCCATTCTGTTCTAAGTTCTAAAAGACAAGGACTGTAGGCATAAACCGAAGAATATGATTTCAGTAAAATATATTATTATGTGTCTTGCGAACAATGAATGACAATATATAGTAAAAAAAAAAAAAAAAAGATATAATTATGTGCAATAAGAACAATTTTGAATCACTAAACCTCATTCACACTCTGAACTGCTAAAAAGAAAAGTAAGAAAATTAACAAAAGTTGGTAGCTCATAACACATTCAGATGCGTACTAGGGTGAAGGCCTCTCCATTTCAAATAGAACCGAGCTTTCTACACGTCGTCTTGACCAGCCAAAGCAGTAATATCTGACCACGATTCCTGTGTTAGTAGCCTCCATACAGCATCAACTTCATCATCATCAACAGGCTGAACGTGAACTTCCTCGAGATCATGCAGACCGTAAAAGAAATTGCCTGGGGACGAAAATTTCCCCTGGGTTCCTAGTTGGAAAATCTTGGGTAGGAAATCATTGTTCGAGTTTTGAAATTTAGAACCTTGATGCTGAGTGACCAATTTCGGACGACATATACGGAACAAACCATCATAATAAAAGGCATAACTAGTTAAAGACGGTAGATGGCAGCCTGTCTCCACCGTCAAATGCTCCACTTGTTGTCTGCATGGGAAACCTTCTAACCCCTCTATCTCGTAATTACATAACAATTTAGACTCCATAAACACTTTTAGAGAAAGATAAATTTTCGACTGGGTCAACTCGGTTAACAGCTTGCTCAGCTCACCAAACGTTAGACCACTGAAATCAGAGCAAGATATAGTGATGTGAGACTCCCATTCCTTTGAAGCCAATTGAAAACCCAACTCGGGGACTACGGGACCATTAAATTCAAATTTGCGAATTCTGGGAACATCGAGTACGGTATTCGGATGGCGAAGACAGCCCGCCATCTACAGTCTTTAACTAGTTATGCCTTTTACGATGGTTTGTTCCGTATATGTCGTCCGAAATTGGTAACTCTGCATACATTTCCTGAATTGGACAATTCGAACAATGATTTCCTCTCCAAGATTCTCCAACAAGGAGCACAGGGGAAATTCTCGTGCCCATGCAATTTCTTGTACGGTCTGCATGATCTCGAGGAAGTTCACGTTCTTCATTTTGTTGACGATGATGATGTTGATGCTGTGTGGAGGCTACTAACACAGGAATCATGGTCAAATATTACTGCTTTGGCTCATCCTGACGAGAGGCAGAAAGTTCGGTTCTATTTGAAATGGAGGCCTTTACCCTAGTGCGCATATGAACGTGTTATGAGCTACCAACTTTGTTGATTTTCTTACTCTTTTTTTAGTAGTTCAAGTGTGTGAATGAGTTTTAGTGATTCAAAATTGATCGTGTTGCACATAATTTTATCGTTCTTTCCTCTTATATGTTGTCATCATTCATCGTTCGGAAGACACATAATATATTTCATTGAAATAAAACTCTTCGGTTCAAGCCTACTACAATCCTTGTCTTTTAGAACTGGAGAATGAGCAATTTATGTATACTCTTTACAATCATCTTTGTTCGAGTTAAAAAAATTCCTATGGGGTTCAGTGCTTCCAGAATTTCTCTGGTAATGTGGTTATGTAGCTGGAAAGTACCACCTGTTAAAATATAACAAAAAAAAAAAAAATTGCTAATCCAATAAAAAAAAAACACAATACCCACACACACAGAGTCATCTTACATAACATTACACCCTAAAAATCCCCAAGCAAGAGAAAAAGTTCAGTCTCAACATTGAACTATCCTGCTGCTTGAAAATCCCCGAAATCATCATTAGGTGTATCTTGCGGTTCGTTTTCAGAATCTTTTATTTGAAAATTTTCCTCTTGACTAAATTCCGGAGGGGACTTGCCCAGAGCAGCTGCAACAGGGGACACTGGAGAGGGCGGAGGTGGCGGCAGTTTGAGACCAACAACCGATGATTCTTGGTTTTTAACCTTTTCATCCAACGAAAGATTGCTCAACTTTGCTTTTATGTTGCTATTCCCGCCACTACCCTTCTGTAAATTGGTAGACGTAAATTTGTATTATATGTAGCCATATACAACACTAGTGGACTCAATGAAAGGGAGGGCATAAGAGGGATTTTACATTCTTTAACTGAAGGACCAAGGTCTCCCCGTCTTTTAAACTGTAATCAACGGACGAAGTTTGTTGGTACTGCTGCTCCATCTCTTCTGCCGTTTTCTTTTTGTTTAAGTACCTTTTGAAATTGAGGTTTTAGTAGTTAAACTGATTTTTTCAGCAGCTTGAGTAAAATTACATGTATAACAAAAAAATAAATAAATCATATGAGTAAATGAAGAGCAACAAAAGTAACAATGGTGGCTAGATAAATACTTCATATGGTCATGAAGGGCGGCTTGGAAATCATATGCTTCGGTTCTTTCGCGGAATCCTATGCCGATGAATGCATGCCGAAGCCGTCCATCTGCAGGAGTCCAAAACATCAAAATACTATATGAGAGTCAAAATAAGAGTAGGAGAGTTCAAGCCAGAAAATTAAGTCATGTTAAAGCGAAAGTACGATATCTATGTATGGTCTGTATCTAAATTTGCAAACAGAATTTAGAGATGTCCTAAATCTGCAAAGAAGTTACACACGCAGTAGATATTTTTCAAACTTACAAATACCAATTTTAATGCTAGTAGATATCCCACAACACAATTTCTATAGTGAAGCAAATGGTTAGATGGGTCATGCTGTCATACTTTTTGAACAAAATTTCATACTAATACTATGAAATGACGTACAGTTGTGTAAGTTGTTTTTTAGAGTATGACATGACACTGAAAGTATGCGTATGATTGTGTAACCGTTAATCCTGCTTAAGGCTGCCCTATCGATCCAAAAAGGACTTCAGACAGGTGCAATGTGTATATAGATTAGATGGTGACTTCTATTTTTGCTTTGAAAGGTAACTATATTTTCATATAGTTAGACTATAAACCACAAGGATAATTTTCGTGATTCACTTTAAGCTAAATGGTAAAAAGGGAAAATGGATGCAAAAATCGAAAGAGAGCGGATAAGAGTCGCATATGCTGTCAAAATGATATACTTGAACGCCAAAAAAAAATCGACTAAGTATACAATGATAAATACATTCAGATAAACATGACATGAGAATTGGTCAGTGCAAATATGATTGTTTTAAAGATAAATATGTTCGGCTAACCCAAAGTATTATTAGATTGTTCTAAAAAAGTAAGACGAGACATTTTTAACTTGATAGGCGCCAACATATGCGTCGGAATTCAATCATTTTTAGGAATCTAGATGAAAAATGAAAAGTAACCACATAAAAATGACACAACCACCGTAACTTCTCACGAAACATGTGACAAATATTATCCTCCGACGTTAGTTCCATAAATGACCAACTTTACATGCTCGCATAAATCTAAATTCGAAATGGTAATATGATATCAAAGATGGTGACCAAATATGAAATGCTAAAATATAATGAACAAGAATGTCGAATCGGCACACGTAGATGTCACCTACTATAAAGTTTGATATTCTCTTTGGAGGAATATATGAAGGTAAAGAAGAACACAGTGGAAGTACATATAGTCACTATGCAATGTCAAGCTTGGAGAGTATCATATCACAAAGCACGAAGTACTTAGAAACTATGGACATATAAAAAAGGTAAACAAAATTTCTTCAAAGGGGGTCGAGTAACAACTCCCACTCTAAATTCGCATCCGACTCAATGCCATGCAGTCTTTAAATTTTAGTGCTTATGCTGGGTAAAGGAAGAATGTCTCATAGGAATGAATAGTCTCCACAAACGATGGATAGGGCATTGTGTATTGTGTAATGAAAATCAATTATATTTTATTAACATGTTCACTGAGTGAAGAATAAAAGAGTAAAAGATGATCAACTACTTTACAAAGAGAAGGAAGCATTATATGTTACCAATATTCTCTTCAACGCGGAGAACGAAATATCTGCAAGGCCACAAATAATTGTTTTTAAAAATGTAATAAACCAATTTTATGACATTTTATTATTTAAAAACGTAACAATTATTTCCTCTTAGAAAATGGTGAATATAGGAAACCGATTTCCTTACCTGCTGCTATCAATAACTGGCTCCACTGGGTGTGGCTCCCCTTCTCTCAAAAATGCTCGAGCATACAGTTCGCCTGTTTTATATTATTATAGTCATTAGAAGAGTAACAGTATGAAGCAGAATGTAGACTAAGATGAAAAGAGCAAGACTAATATTAATTGTAGAAAGCAAACAAAATCAACCTGTTTGCTTATCCTCTAATCTAATAATGCATTCAACTCCTTTACTGACAACTTTTAATGTGCCTTCCCATGACCATTTGTTAACATTCCATTCATCGGCCCTACAAGAACCAAGGGAAATTCTTTTTTCATTCTAAAACCTTCAAATTAGTTCAGCATTAACCATATTTCTGGTTCTGAATCAAGACAAGGTCTTTCCAAGTTAACAATCATAGAAGCACTTAAAAGTAACACAACATCGTCTGTTAAGTTTTGCCAATTGATACTATTTAAACAAAAGTAATGAGAAAAAAAAGAAAAAAAAAATATCACAACTGCTCATCAACAAGTTGAAAACCTGTAGGAAGCTGCAGTTTTCCTGGGAGGTATCTGCAAGATCAATGGTGGAAACATAAAATATGTGAGACTAACTTTAAAAGAAGCACAAAAACTTAAGTGAAAAGTAAACATCGACTGTTTGCTATCCTAGTATAATCTTTAACAAGCAACATAATCGATGCTATAACTTGAATTGTCACTTAAGCTGATGAAGCATTAAAACCCAAAAATGTTTAATGCCCATCAGTGCACATATGCAGCAAATCTTACAGGTTATCTTATTTCTGGAAGAATTACCATAGCGAAGCAACTTGATGCCAGCTTGTCAGTAATAAAATTGCAAACATACTCCGATTATATCACTCACACTTTTAGCTTAAATGGCAATGTTAGGAAACAAAGACACACGTCTTGTAGGATGCAAGACGAGTGTATGAACAACTGCATTATTTCCTTTACCCAGCAGAATATAAATATATATATTTTTTTACTTTACAAAGATCAAATTTCCACCAAATCCATTTCTTCTTGTTTGATGCATAAGATTAGCTATCTCATGGAGGATGGTTTCATTATTCGCCTTTCCAATTTACAACCCACTTTTCACAAATCAAAAGGTCCATAACCTTTCAAACATCAGAACCCATCAGCAACATATTGCCAAAGACCAATATTTTCCAAGAAGTAAAGTTTGTAAACTGATGCTGTCCCTTTTTTAGATAGAAACAATCACAAAATGATTAAAAGAAACAATAAGACTAAGTCTAAAGAACTAGTACAAAAGGAAGTAAGATAAGCAACAATCATTTATGTCGAAAGACGAAACATCTAACAATTTCCCACAACTTAGTCACCCTACAAACATGTAATTCTGCAACAGAGTGTTAAAACCCACAGCTAAAAGCAACCTCACTACACAAAACTGCGCAAGAAATAACAAGAAACAAACATCGATTATACCACCAAACATTTCAAGCTAAGATTCAACAGCCGACATGGACGATGAGATCTCCCAAGAAGAGTTCATATTTTTAGGCCAAGGCAAGTATCAGAGCAAGAACCAAACATAAATATGGGTATGGAACTACAAATTTACCATGTAAACATAACATTCGGAAACTTGAAACAGAACAAGCTCAACCGCCTCTACTTCTTCTTCTGCCATTGTCGTCCTTATAGATATGATCGTGGTATCTGCAGAAGAGAGCCAAATACCAGAAGATTAACTGAACAATAGCAGATTTAACCTAATTGAATTGAATTTCAAGATGCACAGCGTGTAATGTTTGGGGGCAAATGGGCAAAGTAGAATTGGTTGTACCGGCGGCTTATACGCAATCGATCCTCAACCGTGATCCATTGTCAACTAAGGACCTTTTACCAAACTTATTATATTTGAGTTTGTTTAAGTGAGCTAAATTATGGAGATTTTTTTATTGAAGCATTTTGTTAGTAAAATAATAATAATAATAATTTAAATGATATGGAAAAATTAAAAAATAGGATGGTGAATAATATTGTATATTAAAAATGTTGGTATGGGTCATATATTGACAAAGGAAGAGGGCAGGCTGATGCCTGCGAGCGTAACGGAGCGAACGTAGCGAGGGAAGCGGAGCGAACGTAGCGAGGGAAGCGGAGCGACCGAGCGAAGTGAGCGGAGTGGAGCGAGCCGGGGGTGCGGGGGCAGAGCCCCCGCGGTACGGTACAGGGTATTTAAGTAAATTTATACCTTGTAGGGTTTTAGTATAAATACATGGTGTATTGATGTATTTGATACGATTGAGAATAATAAAAGAACCCTCAGCCGCCGTGGACGTAGGCACATTGCCGAACCACGTAAATCTTGCGTTGTTTACTTTTCTCGTTTTTTAATTCGTGTGTCATATTGTCATCTTCACTCAACAAGTG